AAAAAAAAAAAAAAAAAAAAAAAAAAAAAAGTCCCTCTCTGTCTCTGACTCCAGACTGTTAGATTTGGGTTGGGACCTACAGGACCGAATTGTTCTGCCCCTTTCCTCCTCCCAATAACATCTCAGTTTCTGACATGCAGGGCAGCAAGCAAAGGGTACTGTATTTTCCTATACCTAAAACAAGGTCATAAGACAAAGTCAGAGTGAAGATAAGACGTTCTCAAGAACCTGAAGAGAATTTTCACACACCTAAGTTATGGGCTAAATGGGGGCAAAGATAGAACGAAGGTGAAGTTTTTCGTAAACGGAGATGGGGACAGGACAGTTTGCTGCAGCAAAAGTTTGGTTTCACTTTGAACAGTAATTTCGTCAAAACGGACTTTTCTTTTCTTTGTTTTTTGAACGAAGCCTACTGAATTGGCCCAATTTAGGTCAAAATTTTAACGAAATTGAGGGTACGGCGTTCTTTCTTTTCTTCTTCTTCTTCTTCTTCTTCTTCTTTTTTTTTTTTTTTTTTTGTTAAACCAGTCCCTCCAGTGCTAACGATGCTGATAAGACGCCAAACCTACTAAATTGGCCCAATTTAGGTCAAAATTTTGACGAAATTAAGGGCCCGGCGTTCTTAAAACACCATACCCTGCCCCTCGGACTCCAGCTAAGTCCAGATATTATATCCAGGGTGTCGGGCGTTCTTAAAATCCCAGACCACCTGGACAACAGCTAAGTCCAGTTACATCCAGGGGGAGGTCGGGCATTTTAAGAATGCCGGACCCTCAAGAGCTAAAAATCTTGATCTAAATTGGGCCAATTTAGTCGGTTTCAATTTCGTTCAAAAAATAAAAGATGTTCATTTTGACGACATTGCTGTTTTTAACGTTTTTGTGGCTGTGTTGCCTTCATTGACCATCCATTACGGCTTCAAGTAGGTAATAATTTGTATCAAAAGAGAAAAAGTCACTTCTCACTGAGTCAGACAGGCTTTGCCGATATAAGTTGATGTGGATATCCAGCCCATGTGGGTGAAAACTGGTACCTGAACTAAGCTGTTAAGAAACAGATGATTATGAGCTCGAATCCTGTCGGAATAAGATGAATCCAACAACTTATAAGATGAGTGGCGGGCTAACGCTTTTTTTTAAGAGAAATTGAGTTGGAAAATTTGAACCGCATGGCATTGTATCCCTTGCGAATTGGATATTAAACCACCAGTACTTGGCCCAGCTATCAGCCGCGGGCGATCCCCTTTAACGCGCCGGTAGTTGCGCGCTTTGGAGCACCGAGCCACAATGGCTGGAAGCGCCAGCCAAAATGAAAATGAAACGGTGCCCCCGGCGGCTCGGCAAAACTTGGCGTGCAGGGGGTATCCCGGCTCGGCATCAATAGCTGGGCCTAGTACTGGTGGTTTAATATATTATCTAGGCTATCAGCCGGATATTATCTAGGCTATCAGCCGGGCCGCCCATGTCACCCTTTTTTCCCGGGCGGCCTGGCCGTGCCAGGACCAGGGAAGGTCCCAGCCAAAAAAAAACAAAACAAAAAATCCAAAAAATCCGAAAAACAAACAATGTTATGCAGAAAAATAAACTGACGACTTTTGCCTCAAGGTTACATCGAAATTCTTTACCAAATTTAAAATAAAAATTCAAACTTAAAAATCATTTTTATGATTTTTATTTATTTATTTATTTTTGTTTCTTTTTGGCCAGGCCGGGCAAGTGGACCCCGGGCCACTGATAGCCTAGTATATTATTATATTAATGGTTTGCTAAATGTGTTTTAACTTTTTACCTGAGTTTGCTCATCCTTGAAAGTGCTCAACAAATCCTGAAGTTGGCCCTTCAAGTTGTTGATGGTCCTCCATAACTCGGAAAGATTCGATGTATCTTCTCCGTTTTGCTCGGAGTCCGTATCGCCTCGAAGATGGCCAATGTGTTTAACAATGTCTTCCACTCTGGTCTTCAGACTCCTTGCTTCTTCCAGCAGGGCACAAGCAAGGTTTTCTGCTTCCAGTTGGGTCTCCTGCTTGCTCTTCTTCAGGTTGCATTTGAGGGCATCCAAAATTGCCGCCAATCTTTGGCCCAATGATTCAGAATCTCCAGAACCAACATGTGCAGGTGGTGGACCCAATCCCATTTTGCCGACACTCACAGTCGTTCCATGATCTCTCTGCTCCAATTTCTCCACCAGTGTTCGCACTCCGGCTAGTCCATTCTCCACAGTGCACAGAACCCCAATAAAGCTACTCAAATGAGCATCAAGGATTTCTATCTTAAGTGTCCCTATTTCGCCCATCTTCGAAATAATCTCTGGTGCGACATTAACTAAGTTCAGATGGGGAGAAATGGGGGGGGAGTTGAGGGGCACACCGCCTTCAAGTTGAAGCTGATGATCTTTCACTACTACTTCTCCCACACCCCTAGTACTCTTTGCTGCTGCTGTCCTTTGCTCGTCGGCTGCGACACTGGATGCCAGTGCCATCATTGCTGATCCTGCAGGTGGCTGCTGCCCATCAGATTCTCCTCCTAAATCTCCCAATAACTGTGTGTTATGATCTTGAGGTTCTTGCATGCGTGATGCAGCAACCAAATCCTCCACTCCTGCCGCTCCCATTGCCCCCCCACCTTGCTCTGCAAATCGACTTCCATGATCATCGCTAACGGATGACGGCAGATTGACGCCTTTCAATAGACCATTCAGTCTCGCAATTTCGTTCTCGTAATCTTGTATCATCTGCTTAACTGGGACTCCACCAAGCAATAACCTCATCTCTTGTTCCCATTTCTTGTCGTCCCCAACCGTTCCCAAACTTCCTCTAACGGTCGTCAAACCCAAACCTCTTCTCCACCTTGACTCATCCTCTCTCTTCTCAAGCACAGCCTCCAACCTTGTCAAGTTTGCCTCTAACCTCTCAATCATTGGCATGCCTCTCTCCACCCCACAAGCATCCTCAACCGCCTTCAGTCGCTTTTCAAGCACCTTGTCTTCTGCAGTCATTCCCCCTCCACTTACATTGGCTATGTATGACATTGAATTTGTGTGGTCTTCTGAATCATAATTGGCTTTAACACTGCCAGCAGCAGCAGCCCTTCCCTGCAGAAGAGCATAAACCTGTGCAATGCAATCCTGCAATCTCTTCATGACCTTGTCCGCTTCCTCTCCAGCGTCTCCACTTCCGGCAGCCATTGGTTTTATCACCTGTAACTGGCTGTCAAATTGCGATTCAGAGTCTCCTTTCGGCACCTCATCTCCTTTTCCTCCTCCTCCTCCTCCTTTCCCTCCTCCTTCCCTTCCTTCTCTTTCCTCAGACAAATCTGCATCTCTCTTCTCCATATCCTGGAGAATTTGCTCCATGAAAGGAACCTGAGCGCCTTCCATTTGCGCGCTACCCATGGGGGAGATAATGACATTTTTTTCTCCTCCATCCAATCGTTTGCTAGTTGACGGGACATCAACACTCTTCACATATGGAGCGTGGTCATCCATGATCGTTTCCACATCCATCAAGTTTGCTGTCGACCGATCCTGTTGTGTTTCCACCTCCTTCACTCTGCATGTCACAACTTCCTCGACCGTGCTGATACCCACTTTAAGAGCCGCCATCTCCTCCCGAGAATCGTAGAACAGCGCCTTCACGCAAGAGACTTCATCCCTCACATTCTCCATATCTTCATCCTTCTTCATTAGAACCTCGTCAATCTCGTCAAGATATCTGGAAAGGTCACTCAAGTCATCATCTTTCTCTTTCAAAGCGCCTTTCAAGCGCTCGATCTGATCCTTCATTCCCTGATACTCCATATGTCTCGTATCGGAAAGCTCCTCAAACATGTCAACTTGAAGCTTCAGATGCTTCAAGTCATTTTCCCTCTTTGCCAAAGCAGTACTCACCCCTGTAATTACTTCACCGAGAGTGCCACTAAAACCCGGTTTTCCCATCTCGACGTCATATTTACCCACCACCTTCTCTATGTTCTCCACTCGCACGCCCATTGCCTTCATATCTTGCTTCCCATCTTCTAAGACCACTCGGAAGAACTCCTCGGCCTGCACTAAGTGATCCTTCAACCCTTTCACCTCGTTTTTGCTCACACTCAGATCTGTCTCGACAATCTGTACACGAGTATGTAAATTCCGCACATCCCCCCCCCCCCCTTATCATGAAACCCTCTCAGCTGCCTCTCCATCCAACCCTTCAGGCCTGCGAGCTCATCTTTCTGCAACTCCACAAGGTTCTGAAACTCCTTCAGACGCTCTTTCACTCCCCCAACATGTGCCCACTTCTCCTCAAACACCTGCTCCATTCTCTCTAGGTACTGGCGGATCGTCTGCAGCTCCTTATGGTTCGCATCGTCCATGCGCAACCTTTTGTCGTTACTCATTTTGCCCCTCGCTCTTGACAGGGTCCTTTTCCTGAACCCTTTCCCACCAGTCCCAAGGCCACCACCTTTCCGCGGGGACAAAGACACCCCCCTCCTCTCTCTGCTTTCATCACTTATCCCACTCTTGCTCTCACTCCCCTCCAACTCATCCAGTCGCCGCTGCAGTCTGTGAACCTCCACCTCTCTGTCATGTAGGACCCCATTCAACTCCCCTACCCATTCCAGTAAAGTGGGCCTCTCATCTCCCAGCCCTTGCGATCGACTGTCAAGCAGTTTGGACTTTCCATGGAGACCTTTGATGTCATGCACAACCCTCTGCATCTCTTCTCTCAAGCCTTGTTGAATCCTTTCTCTGTCCTTGCCTCTCCGGAACACACCCTTCTGCAACCCCTGCACTTGGCGCTCCAGTCTAGCAATCCTGCTCGTCAAGTCCTCGCACTTCGCCCCAATGATTGCCACTTCACAGTTGATTTCCTCCTTGGAAAGTGGCATATTGGGCGGCGTTGAATCGCTAGACATTCTTAGCGGGCTGGACTGCTCACCTGGTACAGATGTTGCGTCCGCAGTGTCCATGTCTGGGTCTGCGACATACAAGAATGGACGATTGATTGTTGTCAGAGCAGGAATTGCAATTGACTAGTAGTCAGCGCTAAACCAAACTAAGAAACAAATTCACCACACTTTTCACTAGGGTCCACTAGGGTTAGCAAAAAAAGAAAAGAAAAAAAAAAAAAAGGATCCAAGGGGTTAGTCATGACTCATTAGAGTAACTTCAAATTTCAAAACAAAGGGTGAGAGCGAGGGGACGACAGAGAGAGGTTTAGAGAGTGAAAGGAAGAGAGGCAGAGGGAGAGAGGGAGAGAGAAAGAAAACCAGAACAACTGCCTAGGAGAGGGGGGGCAGGAGAGATGGGAGGAGAAAGAGCATAAAAAATGCCTAGGATAGGCAGAGTGGAAGAAAGATAAAGGAGAAGTCTTAGAGGATAACAAACACTCGTTCCACATGTCTCCTGTTAGCTCAGAGTCTGCCGAACCACCCCAGACCCCTCTACTTAACTTGCAGACCCCAATCTGCAGTTTAGAGCCATATCAGAGGCCTGAGTATCTAGATTTTTATTCAATAACGGGGTCCACGTTAAAAAAATTAACGCTCGTTGAATCCGCATTGAGCTGGTGGTGAACACCAGTTTGACGTGTATGAACGCTACCCGCGGAGTTTTTTTTCGCGGCCAAAAGATCAGGGGGAAAAAAAAGGGTTGTAGGATGTTTTCGAGATCTATAACCCCACTTTTTAGTGTTTTCTTTTTCAAACTTTCAATATATTTTTTTTTAATAAAGAAACTAGGCTACCAGAGTGGCCCGGGCCGAGGTCCAACTAGCAAAAAGGATAAAGATCGAGCTCCTGAATCTGGAATCCGATGTGTTTGAAGCAGAGATGCAGAAAAGCAGTTCAATCTCGATTTTCTGGACATTTCCATAAACTCGTCCAGATTCAGGCATTCGATCGATCCTCTTTGCTAGTGGGACCACGCCCCTGGGGTCACTTGCCCGGCCGGGCCAAAAAAAGATTTAAAAATTAAAATAAAATATTAAAAAATATATATTGTTAAAGTTTATTTTTTATTCCATATTTGGTGACGAGTTTCGATGTGACCCTGAGGCAAAAGTTGTTCAGTTTATTG